TTACTGGTTTTTTACTGGATGTCGTTTTCGTACGCAAAAACTTGCAGAAACTAGCAAAAGAGGGGAAATTGAGAGAGCAAAAATGACAGCTAAACTTGCAAGTTTTACTAGATTTTTACTGGATAAATTTTTACTAGCAACTATTTGCTAGTAAGAAAAACAGCTGATGGCATAATGCTTATTGTAAATCACATTAAGAAAATAATTGTTTGTGGTGCTTTTAGAGTTGCAATTGGCAAAATAAACCTATTTAAATATATAATAATATGGAAAGCACTAGATTTCTAAGAAAATTGCATCGGAAAATAACAAATTAATCAGCTGTTCATAAAACTAGCAACTTCTTGCTGGTTTTGCGTTTTCGTACTTTCTTGCATATTTCACTCATTGGGAGTAAATATTGGCTTACTCTCCGAAATTTGGTTACTGGCAAGTTACTGGATATTTTTTGCTGGAGAACACGAAAACACAACTACTATAAACGTCAACTAAAGTACTGTGGTAAAGTAAAGTGGTAAGGATTCAACTCTACTACGCGCATATTAAAATGAAGCGCTCGTTTTGAAAAAGTATCTGTGAAGTAAATAATAAATATAAAAACCCCCCAAAAAAATATTCAATTTGCATGTTGCTTGCAATGGAGCTTGAACCCTGACCCTCTGGAAATGAACAAATTATGGCAAGCATCTTTGCGCACTCAGCTACAGCCAGACATGTAAATGTGCTTTCAAATGTTCCCAGTGGGAAAAAGTAATTTATCATAATCGAAAAAATAATCAGCAAAGCAGCCGTTTTCATTTCGTTTCTATTTTGCATTACCTAATATCGAGGAATTTATGTGATTTAATACAAATCTTTTGGGACTTTTTGTATACATTAGAATGCTGACTATATGTATGTATATTGAACAGGAATATAATCTAGGTTAGGTTAGGTTATTCTGGCTGGCTGACTGTCCCACATAGACCAATAAGTCTCTAGTGATGCCATATGGAGATAGAGGTTTAGTTAAGTATGTATATTCGAAGTATACATCATTTAGGATGTCAACGCTTCTTGAGAACTTCAGCAGTGCTTGAAGGCCAAGTGTTATCACGTTTTCAAGATTATTAAACTCTGGAGCTCTGAGATATTTCAATCGTGTTTTTGATACAGCAGGACAATGGCATAGGATGTGTTCTAGGGTCTCCCTTGTTCCCGTCACCATGCATTTCCTGCAAACTTCACTGACAGTAATCCCCATTTTGCTTGCGTGCGCTGCCAAGATGTTATGTCCTGTTAGGACACCTATCATAGTTCTGAGGTCTCTTCGTGCCAGCGATAGTATAAACCGGGTGTGTGTCCCGTTTTCCAGTCTGCACATGACTTTAGAATTTGTGCAGGTGTTTAACGCATTCCATCTTGTAACGACTTTCTCGGCGGTTCTGCATACCTTGCTATGCTACAGCTTAGGTCAGGGAAAATGGGCGTGGGCTTGCCTCAGCGCATGCAACGAAAGCCTTACTAAAAATATATATGTATGCAGATAAGAAAACGAAATGATTGAAACGAAACCAGCTTAGAAAACTTTTAACCCTGGAAGTGCTCTTTTGACCCTGTCTGCGGGTTTGTTAGTCGAAACCACTAACACCAACTTTGAATTGAAATAACAAACATAAAAGAGTTAAAAACGAAAATACATTTTAAAAATTTTAGTTCTTTATAGTTTTTCAAACACATAAACAAAATATTAAATACATATTATTTTCTCTGTTACATATAATAAACAAAATGGTAAATGACTTCAGAGAGAGGTACGAAGCGAAACACGATTTTTGTTAGTCGAATCGACTAACGAAGCACGTCCAGGGTTAAAGAAGCAGCAAAAAAATAATAAAAAGGAGCAAGCATGAAAAGAGCACAAAGAAAAAGAAACCCAACAGTAACAATGCACCTGGAGGGGAGAGAAGATGGCTTTTCTCCCTCAGTCTTTACCCACCCAACCTGTTAACAAATTATTTATTCATTCTATTAACCCTACGATTCCTTCCAGTGTTTCCGCGAATAATTTTTAGTGGTAGCCAAAAAGTCGTTGTGGCTAAAAATGGTAGCTAAAATTTTTTACCTACATATACGTATTTAAGTATACATGCAAGCAGTTTCAATAAGTAATGGTATAGAAAAACAATGAACTCTGGAAAAAAGCTTATATTTTATCCAACCAAAGACATTTTTGTATTAAAGGGGAAATATACGACACCAACTTGCTGGCTCCATCAAATGATTGTAGCATCAGGCTCGAAGCATATAACTTACCAGCATGCTGGTACAATATTTATTTCTTTACAAATGAGGTCGAGGAAAGATCGAAATGATTAGAGCCGAAATTTCACAATCTTTCTACCATTTTATTAAACATTGTTTTTTTTTTTTTATCATATAGTGCAAGAAATTTCCGCCAAAATAATTTTTACTTAGAAAATTTAGCTAATTTCACCACTCACGATACCAGCTTGCTGGTACAATCATAAAATTTTCTAATCGTTTCTGAAGTCACACCAGCAGCTGGTACAATCACACCGCAAGTCAATCGACTTGATGGGCCATTTAACAAATTAGGCATATTAAGGGCCGTAAACTTGTCTATTTTAAACGATAGTTAAATCGTTAATAGATAAGTCAACAGCCCTAACACTTTTAGATTATGTATGTATAAAAACGTAAGGAACATACAATACGTATATGTATATATATCAGTCATTCTTAGTTTCAAAATTCATCTCTTACATAAATGAAAAAAAAAACTGAGATAAAATTAAGCCTATACAACTTTTTCATGCCAAGTATGAATAAATTCTCCAAAGGACCAAAAAAAGGGCTAGGGGCAATGTTAAATTTATGTGGCCAAAAAAACCATGTGGTAGCTAAATCTAGCCACCAAAGGGCTAAAACGGCAACACTGCTGCCAACCAGTTGGCCGATTTCATTTGAGTAAGAGTTTTTGAACTGTTAACAACACAACATCACCGGTAAACTTTTAAGCTACGCTAGGAATGCTTATCATTTTTATGTATTTTATTGCTACCGCCCCGTTTTTCACAAATTATACGCAGTTTCACCAGCGGAACGAACCGAAAAACAGATGTTAACGTTAATGCGCCTTTAAGAAAATGACATCGCATTTTAGGTTGCCAACTTGTTTACACACAGAGCAACAAGTTGACCAATCTGTCCCAAAAATCAAAAAATTTTGATTTTGCTCCAACCTGACGAACAACTTGACGAAGGTTTGCCAACTTGCCCACACACTGCTTATTTACCACCAACTTCTAGCGGTTGGTCAACTGGTTGGCCGATAAATCGATCCGTCTCTCCGATTTTCTGCACTATCTGGGATAACTTAGAGCAAGCGAACACACACACAAATCAACAGCAATCCAATAGGTGTGTATAGTAACAAATTGTCAGTACTAATTTGTACTGGAACCTGTAAATTTTTACTGGAAAAGTGTATAATAACCCAAAAAATTTGCAAGAGAGCACTGAATCGAGAGCGTAATAACACGAAAGAGCTGCAAATTCGTGCTAGTAAAATTTTTGTTAACAAAAATTAGCTACCAGATGAAGAATGTGTCAAAAGCCGCCATTTGTTGAATTGGTTAATATTACGTTCAAATTGGCCCCATTTAACTTGTTAAATGAAAAAAAGCTTTTTGGAAAACACAATCATCCACATTGAACATTTGGAGTTAACTTTGACGGTTGTTTGATTGCCAATAATAATAAAAAATATTCAAATCAAGTTTGTGTGTTTCAATTTGTTTTGTGCGAATGTCTGCTCATGATATTAACGCATACGGAATACTTAGAGACTTCAAAATATTTAGTTCGTATGCACTATTTATCTCTGCGTACGATGAGACCTCATGGGAATAACTAATTACCGCCTTTGCCTCTTTTTTGGCGGGCAGACATGCATACAATTTTGATATTTTTTAATTTTTAATATTTTTCAGAATTCTGATTGGCCGGAGCAGAAAGCTTTCTGATACAACTCTGCGCTGAACTCGTTTTCAAACGAGTTAAATGATTTAACTGGTTCAATTTTCCAACAACAATTGCATGCGATTTAATTTGTTTATGAACATGTTTTGTTCATTTAACTGGTTCAAGCCCATTTAACATGTTTAGCTCGTCAATTTGAACGTAGTATAAGCCTAAACAAAAGTAAAATGAGTGAAAGTCAAAATATTAATGATGTACTGAACTGTGAAAGTGATTGTGTGTAAAGCAAAGTTTAAAACTCATTTACAAAAAGTAAAATGTTTACAGCAGAATGTCAAAATGGAGCAACAACTATTCACTTGAAAGTTTTACTAGTTTTGTGTTCAATAACTTTTTCTGCTAGTTTTCTCTTCTCAATTTTACGCTCTATTTTGCTTTTCGCTCTCGCTGCAATTTTTTACTAAAGAAGCTACTATACACACCCAATGTTTCTGACAGAACCAGCTGTCAAAAATACAAGACAAGAAGGCTTAGTTTAATTTATTTAAAAAAATGGAAAAACTGCGAATGGAAAATGCGATAGGACAAATGGTGACAGTGAAATGTTCACCGAATACAGCAAATAACTTAAGAAAAGGTAAAAGTAATAGTCGCATTAAAGTTTTAAGGAAATTTATTAAATTGTACTTTTCAAGATCCGAAGCTCTGTGAGCAGTTGCTGTCACAGTCTTTTGAAGCAGATTGTACAGAAACTTCGGACGAAATACAGATGCAAGAGGACATTGCTCATTTAAATGTTGCATCCCATTATTGCGAGGTAAATTGCAGCAGTAATAGGCAGTTGTGTGCAGCATAATTTGGAGAAACATCGCACTAAATACGAATGGAAGACGACTTTGGTTCTCTTAACGTTGCTGCCCTGAATACCGAGGAAAACTGCGTCAGCAATAAAGCAATTTGGATCGATACGTACGGTCCTTATGGAATTTGGGGCGGCTTGTGCGCCATTTAGGGTCTCACATCCAGTGCGTAAAGTTTGCCGGGGATAATGGCCTAATCAGGAAATCCATGTATTGCGGTGCCAATAAAGCCCCCATGTTTTTAAAAATTGCCGAGGATAGACAGCTCGGTTGTTTTATATGCTACAGGGGCAAATACAAAAAGAAATCGCGCATTTCCCGAGCCACTGGAACTTGGTTCCAGAACGCAAAGCTCGGCGTACAGGATGTCGCACGAAACCGCCCAACGTGAGGACTTCTTGGAAGATGGCTTTACACTTTCATCAAGGACCATTGCCGACTGGTATAGCTACTGCAGAGAAGTGGTAGTAGTATACCAGTTGGACCATCAACAATTCAGTGGCAAAATTGGTGGTCCGGGCAAAACGGTCCAAATTAATGAAAGCAAATTTGGCAAGAGAAAATATAATAAAGGTAATTTGCTCTTGAGTACTATGTAATTATATGTTTTTATTTATTTTTCCCCTCCCGGTTTAGGAAGGAGAGTTAAAGGTCATTGGGTATTGGGAATAATTGAAGATGGCAAGGAGGATCTTCGACTCGAGGTGTGCCCGGACAACATCAGATCGGCAGACGTATTAATACCTCTTATAAAGAAGCATGTGCTGGAGGGAACTACAATCCGTACGGACTTCTGGCGGGCTTATGATTGCCTTTCAGAACATGGATTCATCCACAAGAAGGTCAACCATAGTGACCCAGTGAATCCATTTGTTGCCGAAGATGGTACACATACTCAGCGAATAGAGTCCCAGTGGAGGGTTGTCAAACGCTTCTTTTACAAGGACAACTACAATAACCCAGGAATTTTGGCAGACGTTATTGTGGAGTTTATGTGGCGTCGAACTGTTGCCGCTGAAAAAAGAGACGCTTTCATAGCTTTAATTGAAGCTGTTAAATATGTTTATAAGCTTGAATAAACATTTCACAGCCAAATATTTTCTTTTTATTATATTTCGAGTTCTTACCCAGCAAACATTTGGAGTCATAAATGAGTCTTTAAGGAGTCCTATTTCGGAGCCATTACGCTCATAATGAGCTCATTTAAGAGTCCGATATGAGGGTGTATCCCTTCCTCCGAATGTCGACTTATAGGAGCTTAAATTCATATATCAAATGAGCCTCAATATGAGCCATATTGGACTCTTATTGGCCTCATATACGGCTCATTTTGGACTCTTTTAAAACAATTTTTGGCCTCATATAGGAATCATTTCAGACTCTTTTTAAGACTTACCGGCCTCATAAATTACTGCAATCGGACTCTTATTTTACGTTATTCTTTGAGTCTTAACTCACTATATTTCCAAAGGCATTCAGCAAAAATACCTTTCAAATAACATACATACATACTTACGTGCATATACACATTCCAACATGCATTCAATAGCAGCAGCTGCAGCTAAATTTTGTTAATTTTTTGTTTTATAATTATTTTCAATTTCTGTATGAACAACTTTAGATATAAATTTCAAATCTTTATTGTTTTTATATTCGCACAAGGTGCTGGCTCATAACTTGGATCATATATGAATCCTAAAAGATTCATATAAGAGTAAACAATTTTTTGTTTTTGAAACTCATATTTCTTACCCACCTAGGACTCCTTTCGAACTCATATATTCTGAACGCTCAGAATATGTTTGCGGGGTAGGTACATTGATATTATACACATGTATGTGCATACGAACATATATTTACTTTGTTCCAATTGTTCATTTCCTTTTGCTACATGCTTTTCTTTCTACTTGCCTCTTCTTCATTCGGCCATTTGACAGTTCAACGTTAATAACTATTGCGCTGTAAATTCGTATCGGTAACATATTGTTGAAATATTATTTTTATTAATGCTAATATTAACTTAAATAGTTTAATAATACATTTTAGTAAAATTCCAAGTGTTTCACGGGTTTTGGTAAAAGTTAGTGCCTTCATTTCCTTAAAATAAGTGAAAACGCAAGTGAAAATGGCAATTGGCAAAAATTAACGCAAACGTCAAGCTGTGAAGCTGTGTTTTTCTGTGATCTGTTTAAATTTTGTGTTTGATAAAGCTGTTTACGCTTATTAAAGTAAAAAATTAAAAAAAGTGTTAATAAACTTCTGGTGCACAATTTAAAGATAAGTAAAACATCAAAATTTCCCGTAGATTTGATTAATTTAACTTGATATTCTTAATTGCATGTGCCGAGTATTTTGTTTCATATAATATATTGTTGTTGTACAATTGTTTTTGTTTGTGCACATTGATTTTGCTCTTTTTGTCTTTTTGTCATTTCTGCTGTTTCATCTTTGTCACAGCTGTTTGCGTTGTGTTTATTAGGTGTCTAATATACGGTGCATTTAAAACTGTTCGCTAACTGATATTTACCAGCTGATTGGTTCACTGATTAATACATCGTTTTCAAAACCGTTTTTGCTTTTTTGCTTCTAAAACCTAAAAATAAATATAATTTTAAACATGTCGTGTATTTACACCAATTGCCACGTTAAAAGCGACTCCTATGTGCCATGCTGGCTCTGCGATGGGATTGCCCATATAAAATGTGCTGGTTTGAGCGGTAGAGTATTAGACGCTATTAACGAGGGTAAGGGTCTTCGTTGGTCTTGTCAAAAATGTAGATCAACCGAAGTTGATTTATTTAAATTCTTCAGGCAGTCCAGAAATGGTTTTTCTGAGATCGGGAAGGATCTGTCGGCGCTTGTTGAGAAATTTAAGCATTACGAAAAAATGTTTAGATCTTTCACTTGTCTCGACGACCCTCCACACTCTGAAGATAGCCGTGAAAATAAAGGTGGGCATGTTATTAGTCCACCTAAAAAGACAGCCACGGATTCTGGTAAAAAAAATCCTCCATCCCAGTCCTTAGAACTTATTAATTTATCTTCTCCATGCCCTCAGGCATTGGAGCCTCCGATTTCTAAAGCCATATCCACTAGGTCTACTTCAAAAAATAGTCAAACCGTTGATTTAACAGTGTTGCCATCAACATCTCAAGCTCCACTGTCTAACTTAGTTCCTCCGAATAATTCGGAGCCCCGCACATCAGACATCATTTCCAAAAAGTTGGTTGTAATTCCTCCGAGAAGATCAATCTTTGTCTCTAGATTTGCTAAAGATACTTCTTCGGATGATATAAAGTCATACATATCGACTAAAATTAGAACTAAAGATGTATTTATTCGTAAATTTAATTTTAAATACGATCGCGATATTTCATCTTTTAAAATTGATGTAGCTTCCGAAGATTTTGATTCACTACTAAATAGTTCATTTTGGCCGACCGGGGCGTTTGTTCGCGAGTTTGAGTATAAACCTAATAAAAGTAATAATAACGTAGCTAAAATTTCTAATCTTAATTCTGATTCAAAAAACTAACTCGCAAGTCTAATTTAAGTATTTACTATCAAAACGTTAGAGGTTTGAATACCAAATTAACTGACTTATATTTAAAAGGTTTTGACTGCAATTATAATATTATTTCCTTGACCGAAACATGGCTCAAACCTCATATTTTTAATTCCGAAATTCTTCCAAATGAATATCAAATATACAGGAGTGACCGCGTGGGCAGAATCGGCGGTGGTGTTCTTTTTGCGGTGCATTCATCGATACCATCCGAGGAAGTTAGTCTTCCTGTCATTGAATATACCGAATTTAAATGTATACGTGTACAGGCTGGAAAGACTTATATTTATTTAGCTCTTTGCTACATCCCTCCTAATTCTGCCGTATCGGTATATATGCAGCTAGTTTCTTTACTTGAGATCGTAAATGCAATGCTTACGGCATCCGATTCTATGATTGTTTTGGGCGATTTAAATCTGCCACATATTTCATGGAACATCATTGACACCGATGTTGTACCAGTTTCATCTAGAGATAGTTACAATGTATTTCTGGAGGAAATGGCTGAACTATGCCTCAAACAAATAAATATATGTCCAAATAAGTTTGGAAAGGTTGATACGCAAGCCTATTGGGTCGATAGCCATTGTCAACCACTATCGCGCC